GGGGTACGGGGAGGAGGTGGTGGAATGGGATAAGAAAAATAATTTAAGTTTTATTTTTTAAAAATATATTTTTTGGGGGATAATAATACTTTGATTTTTAATTAATATTAATAGTTTATTATTTAATTTTTGTCAATATGGAATATTTTATCCATGTTAAATGTCATGTGTCAAGGTTTTTTTCAAAGAGATAAGCTTGAAGATCTGAACTATTGTTAGTGAGTGTGAGTTGTAATAGGGACAACAATAACATACTCAGTACAATCCCACGAAAAGAAACACATTGCCAATCTAAAATAAAACAAGCTAAGAAAAACACTCTTTTCTTTTCTCTTTTACAGGATAATTGGTTGCACTACATTTGCTTACTGAAATGTCCATGTAAGGTGTAACTCCACATTTGGGCGATAAAATGCATGATCCAAATCCATACTTGTTATGCATCAAACTTCTTGATATATGTTGAGTGTCTATCAACAACAAGCTCAACCAACGGAGACTCGACTTCAGCCCCTGCCCGAGTGCAGTCCCTGCGAACTGTGACTTTTTCCTGCTCAGTGACGACTATAACTTCCTCTTTACGGGTTGATAGTTCATTAGCTATCACCATATGCATCTTGTATTTTTTGAGGGCCATATTAGCCTTTGCTAAAAGGATATCTGTGTCTGTCTCTAGCTGTCAAATAGTAGATATTGGAAATCAGTAATGAAACTATACCCCTGACCCCACTTGTGAGATTTTACTGGGGTACGTATATTGTTATTGTAGTCACGAAACCATATGATATACTTCCTAGCAAATGAAGCTTTGACATAGAAATTCAAGTCACCGCTTCTTTACAAGTAGAGAATTTTTTTCCCCAAGACAGAACAACATTATTAAATTTCGTAACTTTACCAAATCATACAAGATGATCACCAACCTTAAAAGATATGTGGAAGGCCATTGGTGCCCATTCATTCCTAAGCACGGAAAGCATCTTTGGTACTTGGGCGAGTCGTATATCTAGAGGACCCGATGCTGACTGGATTTTATGTAAAGCCTGTGAAGAAGAGAGAACATATAACAAATAGAGCAGATTTAGAGGAAACAGTAGATACAACTCTCTTTTATAAGATGATTAAGATGACATGTTATATAACTATCAGTAGCAACATAATGATCGAGGGCAATCGAAGACAGGAAAGAAGGAAAAGTATAACTCACGAGAAGCAATAAGAAAAAAAGAGAGATAAATTCAAGAACATAGATTATTACCATGCTTTCCCACGGAACATAAAAATCAGAAACTGCAGCTGCCAGAAAAAAAACAGCACTAGGCCCGACGTCCCTCAAAGACACAGAAATTAGCTGAAGAATCTGTCAATGACCAAAATAACATTAATCGAAGTGCTACCAGCCTCCACAAAGCGTACTAAAATGCTCATACAACATTGATTTAACAGTAAAACAGATTTCACTGATCTATTTAACTTAAACCTGCAAATACTCGAAAATTGTTGTAAATGGAAGTTTCAACAGGATGCCCTCAGCAACTGCCTGCAAATAGTAAATTCTTCCTGTTAAAGACTAATAAGGATAACATTTAGAACAAAAAAAATAGGAAGAAAACAAAAAATCAGTAATTACTGCGCGATTTTCAGTAATGGCGCTCTTCACTGTTTCAGCATGCAATGCATCCACTAAAAAATAGTGCAACAGAAAAATGCTCATTAGATTGGAAAAGTGTGAATTGCTCAACAAATCAATTGTGATACAAAATACTCAAAACAGTAAAGATATCCTCTAAGTGACTATATATAAAGTTACCAAATATCAGAAGATGGATAAGCCTTTAAAGAGTAAAAACTAAGACAAGCTTTGACAATATGTGCTTACCCATTCCCATTTCCGTTGATTTACACTGGGATTTCGAATTGATCACATTCTTGCTTACCGTACGTATGAATGAGCTACTAATAATAGATAATCTCATGGTACATGCTATTTGCGGATAATAAGGTGATAATCAACGAAACTACTGAGGGATTTGAAGTTTAAGATCTTGGTGTTATTGGTGTCACTGATATTGGTGTCATTTCGGGTCAATACACGTCATTGGTGTTAATTGAAGGATAAGTGTAACATAGGCGTTTAAAGTTTAAGATCTTCACAAGATCAGTATCGTAGAAATGTAGATGTTAAGATGGAACATCATAATAAATGACCATAACTGACAGAGTGTACAAGTAGCACTTACAGAGAATAAAATAAGATAAGGTCGTCTAGAATGACTTGGTTGATAGAAATGTAGCACATGCATCAATATTGAGCGTAAAAATATAAGAACTATAGACCTTCAATACTTGAATCATCAGCAACACTAAAGCACTCTAGCAGCGGATCATCGGGCAGAGAACTACAAAATGGCTGGCATGACCCTCTGCATATATATTTCATGGCGTTACTAGTCTAAAATCAAAATCACAATAATCGAATAAATTAACTTGGCACTTGAAGAACAAACCTTCGGTAGAGAAAGACTACAGAATAACCGGACTTCAGAAAGTATCTGCAATTACATTTTCATTTTGAACATCAAACGTATGTGAGTTCAAGTGTGTGCAAAGCATCTAAGCATAGTATTCGTGATATACTCTGTGGATGCAGCCCCTCTATGACCGGAGCTAAAGTTGTCGATATAACGAACACATTGTTTTTCCAGAGGAACAGTTGTACCACCTGAAGTAATACACACCACCCTGTTTGCTTTTCCACTCACTGAACATGGAGACACAAAATAAAGTCAAGTGGCATTTATATTCAAAGAACAGAGAGTTAAGAGATTAAAATCTATGAGATGTTGATTACTAAAGAAATAACAATTGCCTGATGATGAAGTATTGCGATCAACGAATTCCTTCAAGCTTTTCTCAATTTCAGCAGCATCCTTTAGTAGTGGAGCTGACTCCAAGAAGGACATAACTTCATTTTTCGGTGTTTCTCGTAACTGATTAGCATCATCAATTGCATCCATGCCGAAACTTGACAAAATGGTTTATTTAGTCATTCAATTAGATAACATACAAAACTTGAGAACCTGTCATATATACAATCAACAGTCACCAAAAATATCCTTTAACAGGTCATTTTCTGCACTTCGAACATCAAGTAGTACTGGATAATGAAACAAACATGCTGCACTTCGAACATCAAGTAGACCAAGGCCAAGGGCGGAATTAGGTAGGACCAAGGGTTCATCTAAATCCCCTTTGGCGGCGGAAAATTACTTTATTTCTACATGGTTAAACTTGAGAACCTGTCATATAACCAATCGTGTGTTTACTTCTTCATATTACGTAACCCCTTAGTGAAAATCCTAACTCAGCCACTAACCGAGGCTTAGATCAAAGGATTGAGATTTAACAACACTTTGATATGTTTCTTCAAAACTAATCCTACAAAAATTTTCCATTTTACAAAAAAATTCAAATGATAAATATAAAGGGCAAAATTTTATTACTAACCAAACATGAATAAACTCATACTAAAATTAATCCTTTAATTAGCTATCCTTGATCCCTCATAACAAACAAGCCCTAAATTTATAAAAATTGAATACCAAAATCTTAATATTCCCAAATCGTTAGCAAAAAAAAAAAAGAAAAAAATAAACTCAGTGCAAAAATTGTTACCTGCTCGAAAGCTAGTTGAGAAGAATTTCTGTATATGGAGAATTTGGTGGCATAAATAAATAGTAGTACTAAAAATATTCATTTTTTATATCTAATTTTTAATTTTAATACTTAATAATTAAGAAATGCCAACTTCCGGCAGCCGTTTGGTCAGCTTTCGTCGCCGGCAATATGCTCTTTGTTATTAAGTGTGTAAATAGGTAGCAGACAAATAATTTTAAACCAAAAGATAAAAATAATGTTAAATTAAGTAAAATCAAACAAAAATTACAAAATAATAATTAAAAAAAAATTGTTATTAAGTGTGTAAATAGGTAGCAGACAAATAATTTTAAACCAAAAGATAAAAATAATGTTAAATTAAGTAAAATCAAACAAAAATTACAAAATAATAATTAAAAAAAAATTGTTATTAAGTGTGTAAATAGGTAGCAGACAAATAATTTTAAACCAAAAGATAAAAATAATGTTAAATTAAGTAAAATCAAACAAAAATTACAAAATAATAATTAAAAAAAAATTGTTATTAAGTGTGTAAATAAGTAGCAGACAAATAATTTTAAACCAAAAGATAAAAATAATGTTAAATTAAGTAAAATCAAACAAAAATTACAAAATAATAATTAAAAAAATTAGTTATTAAGTGTGTAATAGGTAGCAGACAAATAATTTTAAACCAAAAGATAACAATAATTTTAAAAGTAAAATCAAACAAAAATTACAAAAATAGAACCGTATGGATCGGGAGATTGAACCCGACGTGAATCGAACACGCAACCTTCTGATCTGGAGTCAGACGCGCTACCATTGCGCCACGGATCCACAACTGATATATTCTTGAAACTTCTCTTATTTATTGAAAAATGATAAATTTTGGGTATATTCTTGAAACTTTTCTTATTTATTGAAAAAATGATAAACTTTGGCTAGTCATGGTAAAGTGCTCCCTAACAAAGGCAACTACGTACCCAAGGAGACTCGAACCCGAGATTTCTTGGTTAAGGATGAAGGAGTACTTACCACTCATTAGCTAATCAAATGTATATTTTTAAACGGCGGCTGGAAAATAAATTAAAGGTGTCAAATTGAATGTAAGCGAGATTATTTTATTTCATATTTAAATGTAGATATTAATTAATTTTGAGATTATTTTATTTCATATACAAAGTGAAATAGTTTATATGTTTTAACTCACGAACCATACAAAACGAAACTTAATAGTAGTAGCATTATATCTCATGCAAGTAAATGGAGTACAAAAAACCTTGGAAGAAATTAAACAAAGAGAACATTCTAAATTACTTCACTGACAACTAAACCTACAAAACTCTTACAATTCCTCCTAGCTATTTACAATGACACTACCAAAATCTTGAAGGAAATTAAATGAGGCACAATAATCCAAATGCAACATTGCATAATATTAGTCATAGCTAGCTAGCTAGTACTCCATAATAACATACATATCATGACTAGAGGTCGAAATTAAATAAAACTAAATTTTGAGTGGCGACTCTGATCAGCTCGTAGGATGGATCAATTGGAAGGGACATGGTAATATTTGCCTTTACACATACACCTGTAGACAATTGGACAAGATTCAGCAATGGAGCATGCAAAGCTCACCATTACTCTCTTACAAGGGAAACAAGGTCCACAAGCATGAGAACAATCTGGTAAACTTGATCCTGTTGGATACATCTCCATTCCTAACACATCATGATCTCCTTTTTTTTCTTCCTGCAATTTCAATTTTTTATTTTTCAAATTGTACATATGTGTGACAAAATTGTTAAAATGGTTTCATAATTGAGTGACAAGTTAAAAACACCACTTATTTTGAAACAGCGGGAGGGGAAGTAATAATTTACCTTAAGGTGGACATGGTTTTGATTGTCCTTGTTTGTTCCTTTGCCATGATAGGAAACTGAAATTTTTATAAGGAGAAAACATTTATGTATGCACATAGCAAAAAACATCAATTGCAACATTAATGTTTTTTTGTGAAAGTACTAGCAATTGTCTCTATGCTTTAAAAAAAAAAAAACTAAATTGAGATATATATATATATATACACTTTTATTACATAGTTTATTTTACAAATGGATGACTGGATATATGCTTATCGGGGAATCTTAATAGTTTAGTTGATTGACTATCTGAAATTTTTACTTTGTTGATGAGATTTTGATTCTTGGTCGCTAATTTAGTCCTACAAACTATGTCACAGCTAGAGCTGAACATCTGGTACATGAGCAATTTAAATGAGGGCCCAATATTGAGAAATCAGAATTGAGATGAGAGATGAGTCTTACTTTAATAACATTTAAAGGGAAAAAAATGGACTTAACTCAACCTCAAAAGTTGGCTCATATAGACAGAATTGTTTAAGTCATATTAAAGAGACCACTCATCCCTTAAATTAACCACTGATGTGGAACTCTTCACAAGAAAGTTGATGCCTAGTGTTACTTTCGGCTCAAACTATGTATACATATAAAAAAACACATATATTATACACACGCATACATTTTTTTTATCTCCTATCTCTCATTGTTTTTTTATTATATTTGAAAATAAGACAGGATAAAGCATAGGTTGGCACTTACAATGATATGGACGTAGGCTTTGGCTAGAGTCAACCAACAACATTAAAACAAGAGTAACTAATGACGCACTCAAAATTCCAAATGTATTCACCATCTTCTTTTAAGAATCTTGAAAATTTGGTGCAAACAATTTTTTTATTTTTTAAAAGAACTAACAACTAAAAAATAGTTGGAAGATGGATGTGTGAAGGAAAATATTGGACCAAACTTGTGGACTATATATATAAGAGAAAATATAATGAAATTTGAAATGAAAGAGGGGTGATTTTAATTAATGTAGGATATTGTACACCTGATGAACTTCACATGATACACGCCCATTTTTAATTTTTTTTCAAAAATTCACAGGTTTTCTTCTCTTCTTTAAACCAATCCCACTAGGTATACAAATAAAAATAATTTTTTTCTTAAAAAAAAAAAAACAAGACCCAAAGTATGAAAATTTTATGATAGCAAAGAAAAGGATTAAAAGGGATTTCTAAAGAAGAATAAATTTTAAGTAGCACACTTTAATTATTTAATTTTTTTATATGGGTGGCAGTGAGATTCGGACTTAGGACTTTTATTTTATTTGAATTTTGATATCATGTTAAAGTATGTAATCATCTCATTTAAAAGTTGAAGATGTTAGAGAGAACACATTTTTATCATTTGCTTGTATTCTCGACAACTACTACTAGAAACATTTTTTTAAAAGAAAAATTATCACGAATTAATGGGAAATTTGTGCAATAATATATGATTTTTCCACTAATTTTTTACCGAGCTAGCTCACTGAAAAAACGAATGGTGAAGATCAAATTATCATTGAAATATAAGAAGCTTCTTGATTTTTACATGTGAAAACACTATTATTATTTTTCACTAATTCGATCAAAATATTTGTGGAAATTGAAAATAGTCATTGAATATTTTTAGTGAAAAAATAGTTACTACTCCCTCTATTCTATATTAATTGAATTTTTGGAGTTTTTTGCATTGTTCAAAATAAGTGAATTGTTAAAGTTCAAGATGGATGTTTGAAATTTTTTTCCATATTTATCCTTTCCTTTAATGAGTTTGATATTTTCTAAGAGATAAATCGCACTATTTGCAAAATTATATTTATGATTTCATAAAGAATAATAGTGAAAAATATAATTTAAATTATATCCTTAAATATTTTTCTTAATAATGCTTCTTATAACTTTAATTTATTTGACCAAAACAATTAGTCTTTTTTTAAAACTTGTCCTTTTCAATTGAAGACTTTAAATTCAAATGTTGCTTTTTTTAAACTTGACCTTTATTATATTTAATTTTATTGAAACTTTTAAATACATATGATATGATACGATACTATTTTTGTTTATCTCTTACTAATAATTTTTTCTAACTATTGTATCAACAAACGTAGAGTGCAAATAAAAACAGTGTGAAAAGGTTCATTCAAAATCAAAGGGATAATTTTTTTTTGAATCATAGGAGATAGTTACTCATTATATGGCTCACCAACTTCACTTGACTTTACTGTCTTTATGAAAGGCTAGCTTTATGCAGGTTCGGATCAAAACACGACCTTTATCAAGAAAATAATTAGACGTATCGAAATATATGTAATTTGTCCTAGTCCAAGATTTCAAAATCCAACGTCATCCCAGCCTGGGGTTTTTATTTCTGGATTAGCCGATTGTGATTTTTATTCTTATTTTTAAAATTTGAATGTATATTATTCAAAGAGAAGAAAATGCCAGTTTTAAAAAATGGCTATAAGACAAATTAACATGAGTGGCAATATGCATTAATTTCAGTTGTTTAGTAGAACACGTACATATGTGTGATATAATTATCAAGTGTACCATATTGTTAAACAAATAGATGAAATTAGTGATAAACAAAGAAAAAGCAAAGTAAAGTCTAATCTAAAGATAAGATTGGTTCTTAACCACTACAGAACGAGATTTTTTCCTTTACTAAGTATCTATTTTCTTTCGAAAACTTATGAGATGCTATTTTTTAGGAAATTTGACTCTTAGGGGCCGTTTGGTACAAAAATCAATAGTGCAAGGATTAGTAATGCAAGAATTAGTAATGCAGGGATTGGTAATGCTTGGATTAGTAATGCAGGGATTATTTTTATCAAGTGTTTGGTTCGTTGCTTCCTACCTAATTTTGTGTGGGGTTTAAAACTCTACAAAAAGACTTCTTTCCAATTATACCCTTGAGTTATTATGAGATTTTTTATTTAATGTAATTGGGTCAAGGTAGATAATTGATGAACAGTATTATTATTTTTATAGCCTTTTAACTAGCTAGGAGAAGGAAAATTTTGTCACCATGTTCACTATTTTCTCACTTAAAATTATTTGAGGGTAAATAATTGTCATCTTAATAAATTGAAGTTAATATCTCAAAAAGGTCACAAAAACTATAAGAATTTATAGAAAAAAAGGTATTGAACATTGTTTTACATCAATAAAATCATTCAACTTAGGACTTTTATCAAACAAAAATCGCTCTTTATCATAAAATAAAAAAATGGCAAAATA